GTTCTTGGGGTCCCCAGATCTCCTTCACACCTTCCATAATTTAACTTCTTCCACTTAGACCTCACCCCCTAAAAGGCTCCTCTGCTTCCCACTAGCACTCCAAGCTAGTAACCAAGCCTTTAGATATCAACCTTTTAGAGAACACTTATTCAAACCACAGCACCACAGAGGCAAAGTTCCTCTACCCTTAAGAAACCATGGTGGGGTAAAGTGAACAAAGTGCATGAACTACAAGACACACACACATTTGAAGCCAGGTTGGGTGTCAGAATGGTAAAACATCATCTTGACAGTTGTAAAATGCTGGAAGGATTTAATTATACTGATGTGTATATGCTGGAAGTGTTCCCAGAGATTCAAGCACTCCATCAGCATTCTGCAGTCAAATTAATCAACAGATTGTTATCAAGACACAAATTGCTTGCAAAGATATTTTTGTGAAGTTTAATTCCACAAAGAGAAAGATTGCTGCTTGTTACTGTAAAAGAGAGACATGAAATACTAAGAGAAATTGCATGCTTGGCAGTTTCCAGAATCATTGGAAAAGATTAAGAATTGTGACAACACAGGAATTCTGGATTTTAAGGACTAGGGATGTCAAGGACACACACACTTCAGATTATTTTCATAGTTTTCCACAGACAGTTTGAGGCTGATGCAGCACAGGCACCTAGAGATCTGTGTCAGATCAGCGTGTTGCTTTAGAGGTTAAATATCTTCCCTGTCAGTATTCTGGATGGCATTGGGGCCTGGGAAATTGCTGTTGACTCCATGCTGTGGTCTTTTCTTCTCTCTGCCCACATCAAAAAATGGACAGCAGCCATTTCCATGTACTGCAAATCTTCCTACTGACCCTGCCTAACTACAATTATCCTCAATATATGCCATAGTCATGGCTATGTACTGCACCCAAGCTCCAGACTGTGTGTCTCCTAAGCCACAGGAAGGCACTCTGCTTGGAAATGTCAGTCAAGCTCCTATTGTGTTGTGTTATAAAAGTCAGAAAACAAGAAGAATAATGTAATCTGTGGTGTGCAGATCCATTCCCTGGATTTAAGAGAGAGAGTGACATACAGAGACACATTTTCTTCCCCTTATTTCAGGTATTACCTGTTGTTTAGTTTCTTCAATTGTGTTTTTTCCACTTTACATTATATTTAATTGGAGACTTTGAACACACAATTAAGGCTCATTGTTATGATAAGCCTTAAAGTAATGATTGATAGTTTAAGCAATACATTTATATTACTTTAATAACAATTAAAAGTACATGAAAGAATATAAAAAGTCCTTCATAAGCTCCCCAATCCATAGTTCTTACTAAAGAATGTTTTGTTATCTGTGCTTGTGTCTTTTTGTAAGTTTCCTGGGACTATACACATGCACGCATGTGCATGCACAGACAGACAGACAGACAGACAGACAGACAGACAGACACACACACACACACACACACACACACACACCCCTCAGTAATCACAGGGGATTGGCCTCCAGGACCCCTGAGGATACCAAAATTGAAGAATGTTCAAAATACTTATACATAAAAATGATTATTTATCTGCATATAATCAACATACATACAGCCTTTACTGTAGCTTAAATAATCTATTGATTACTTATAACATTTAGAATAATATCAATGCTATATAAGTGATTGTTTAATGTATTGTTTAGGGAATAATGACAAGACAGAAGTCTGTACACTTTCAGTAAGGAAGTAAATTTTCTCTAGTATTTTTTTGAATTTATATTTTAAAATACAAAATAGTACTAAAACAGAAAAATTACAAGTGATAGAAAAGTTCACTTAACAAAATAATGTGAATTTCACCGTATTTGTTGTATTGCATAGTGTTGTCTTCAAATTAATTGTTCATATTATCAAATATATGCATGCAAAATTGGAAGAAGAAAGGAAAAATAGACAAATACATAAGAAATTAAGAAGAGTAAAAGGTCAAAGAATTAAAATGAGACAAAACAAGTTAAACATTAACTACTCCTTTCCATAGACCAGCATAAATCCACAGTACCATTGTCCAAACCATCCTGCTTGCATATGTAGATATCTCTTTCCCTCACTACCTTCCTGTTCATCTCAACTCAGTAATTCATTCCATTTGAATAGATTAATTGCCTTTTCCCAGTATCTATTGTACTCTTCAGATTTTATTTTCCCTTTTAGATTCTCACACTAAGGAGACAAAAGATGTTTGCACATGTGGGTCTGATTTATTTCACTTAAAAGTATTGTCTCTGGTTGCATACATTTACCAATACAAGCCTCAAATTTATCCTGTGTTATAGCTAAATAACGCTCCATTGTGTAAAAATACTACACCATTTTAATCCATTCTTTAGTTGATGGAAACTTCAGTTGTTTGCAAAATGTAGCTATGACAAATTGTGATACTACAAAACCTGGGTGCACATATATCGCTGTGGTATGTTTTCAGTTCTTCTGGAAAAATACCTAGGAGGAGAATCAATGGCTTGAATGGGACTTCCAATCCTAGCATTTGGAGGCACCTCTGTACTGATTTCCATAATGCTTGTACCAGCCTACACTCTTAGTAACAGTGGAGAAGGGAGTCATTTTCCTATAGACCCTCCAGCATTTGTTATTGGTTACCTTTTTTTTTTTTTTTTTCAGAACCAGGGATTGAACTCAGGTCCTTGCGATTGCCAGGGAAGCACTTATTCTACTGAGCCATCTCCCCAACACTATTTAACTTCTTGATATTACCCATTCTTTCTGGGTTAGATGGAATCTCAGTATTGTTTTAATTTGAATTTCTCAAAAGTGAAATGTTGAACATTTTTTGCATATATTTATTTTTCACTTTTTAAAATCTTTATCAGAAAAGTGTACATTCATTTCAGATGCCAATTTTTTCTAATAATTTTAATGAGAAAAAATAGCAATAAGACAGTTTCAAAACTGATTAGTAGGACAATTTCAATACTTAATACATTACATATTGCCTTCTCAGTGGTTATTCATTGTACAAGATGTAGATATCATCTCCTGTCCAAAACACTATTATAACAAATCTTTCTATTCATTGAATTAAGAGATTGTAGCTGTATATTTATTGTAAATATTTTAAATATACAACTGCAAAACATTTGTTCATTTCTATCCCTTTTTTCTGTTTAGTTTTGTCAGAGGCTATTCCATTGTCATTTAAATATTATAGGTGCATGGATTCAGCAAAATGTTCCAATTTAGTCCAGTAGCCCATAATAGTAGTAGGTTTTCTGTAAGACTGGCAATGTTAGAAGTTGTTGCTAGCACATTTTCTAGCACAATTACTAGCACATTTTCCATAATATTCCATAATTAATATATTGCATATTGTTGTCTTAGTGATTATTCGTTGTACAAGATGCAGACCTAATATCCTGTCTCAAACACAATTAGAACAAAATTCTCCCTATTGTCATTTAAATACTGTAGGTGCATGAATTCAGCAAAATATCCCAATTTAGTCCAATAGTCCATAATAACAGTGGGTTTTCCGTAAGACTGTCAATGTCTGAAGTTGTTGGCTTGAGCCTTTTACAGCTCATTCTTTAAATATGGCTTTAACTTTTCTACTTCATTTTCATACTTTTCTGCTAGATGGTTAAGACCAACAAAGAGCAAGAACTATTTAAAAAGAAATATAACTTTTGTATCTGATAAGGCTAATAAAATACCCTCGGGATTTTTTAACAGTCAAAAGTCTTCCAACAGTTTATTAGAAAGAATGTAGACATTTAAAACAATCCCATTGTCATGAACTTAAATTGAGGTTTTTCAGCTAGGGTACAAGCTGAATCAAAAACAAACAAAAAATCCAATAGTGTATTAACACCTTTTCATTCATTTGCCATACAGACAGTGAAAATACAAATCTAATCTAAATGTACAGACTCCCAAGCCAACAAACAGTATACAGTTTTCTTCCTCCTCCATGCTGAGAGGTGTAAAAGCTTAAGGGCCAAATAATACCAAATGTATAGGCTTCAAAAACCATCTAAGTTAAAGGCATTCATTAGTTTCAGCTAAGATACATGTGGAAAACTGACAAGTGATCACTTACATACAATAATGCGAAGTAAGTTTTTTGAAAAATAAACTTTAGTGGAGCAACTCTGAAAAAGTACACCAGAGGAATGTCAGGTTATCAGTTTAATTTACCAGCCAATTTTGAGTCCATGTCTAAAATATATAATTTAGTTATGTTCCCTATGCTGAGAACTTTCTATCATATCAGTAACTATGTTATGAAGTAAAGGAGACTTAGGTGAAAATTTTTTTTATTATTATCACAACTGCTGTACTGTCTATGACCTCAACAGCTCATGAAAGTCTGGGAAATGTTCATGCATAAGAACAATCCCTCAGGTGACTTGAAATTGCCCCATACAATGGAATATTATCAACCCTTAGTGACGCCTTAAAGAAAAAAAACAGGTTGGAAAAGTGGGTTAAAGGAGGCAAATATAGCATCTGACTTTAGGGCTGTCAACTAAGGAATTCTCTCAATTATGAACTCTTGCAGTGAAGTTATTGTTTTTTTCAAAATTCAGGTGATGACATTTGTTTATTCCAGATCTGGTATTTTTTCATCATCACTGTCTTGTGAATCATCATCTGCTCCAACTACTTCTGCTAAATCCACATCCTCACCACCACCCATGTTGTTCATCATCTTAGACATGTCTTCATCAGAATCGTCCTCCCAGTCTTTCCAATTATTGAAGTCCACACTAAGCCAATTAAGCTTTGTCCTTCCTTTTATTAACCAAGGCCATGACTGGCCAGATTTTCCTTTTTGTAAACAACATAAAATTGATCTGTCTGTTCTTTTATACTTGGAATCACTTGGATCAATACAATGAAAAGGATCAATTTCGTTTAAATGTTTAAAATTATCACTTTCTTCAAGACAACTGAAAGTGAGTTTGGATTTTTCAAAATTTACATTAACATCTTTACTGTCTTCAACACAAAATTCAATGAAGACATAGGCCCTTCGATCATAACACTTTGCAGAAGCAGGCTGTATTGTAAACAGGGCAAGGGGATGGGCAAATGGGTAGGCAGTCCTCTTGTGGCTACTGCTAGGAGTTGGATCCTCCTCAGTGGTGACTCTGGCATTGTCTCCCCAGTCACTGCCTCTTCTTGCTGCCCTCAGGAGACAGCAACAGCGGGTTCTGCCTCCCCTCAGGATTTAATCTGAAACCCTGTACATCAGTTTGTAGATCCTATGTCAGTGTCAGCCATGTGGATGAGTCATGGCCATTGCTTGACCAATTGGCCCTCTGTGAAATCCTGAGAGACAGTTTTCTCTCCATATGACTCTCCTTAAGGACACTCTACATCATTGATCACTTTCCTCTCTGACCCCATAATCTCCTTGATCAGAAAATTTGGGACAGAACTGACTTACATGATGTTACAGTACAGATTCTCCTATGTCCTGTGTCTTCATTGACCTTGAAAGCCTAGATTCAAAATGTTGGCTGTCCTTGCAGCCCTTCTCTAATTTTTGGTCTGCAAACTTAGGTTGTTAACCCTCCAGAAGAGAAGCTTATGGTTATTAATCTACAACATAGGCAGTTGAGCTTAATCTCACTATCTGTCTGAGTATCAAACATTTTAGACATAAAATGGAACAGGTATTTCCCATCAGGTGTTGATATGTTAACCTTTAAGTCCCTACAGAATGTGAAGAAAAAGATTTAAAAAAAATTTTACATAGAAATAAACAATTACATATTTTACACAGAAGTTTAGAAATCTAACTGTATACAGCCTTGTAGCGGACAGTTCTGTGACATTTTTTTTTTCTTGTCTCTTTTTTTTCATTTATTACCCTTTCATTAAAAACAAACATTTACTTGATAAATAGTATGGCAATAATTTGTATGTCATGACAAGCAGTATGTATTTAGAAGACCAGAATTACGGGCACTCCAAGTGTGACCCTATTATTAGACATTACTATCTTCAGTGCAGTTGCTCAGTTTATAGGTATTGGATATATAGCTAGTTGATAAATCCTACAAATTAACTGCTAGTTTTGAAAACCTGATGAAGATTATCAGGATCATTGCTTTACCCATCTTGTACATATACATGTATGCCTTTGTCTCTGTCATGTTTCCTAGCTTTTCTCTTTTCCCTCTCTTTATTGTCTAATCCTCAAGGTCTCACTTTTCTTTTAATTGTGTTAAACCTTTCTACTTTTATTTCTTCTTTTGAATTCTTATACTAGGAAGAATATACAATATTTACACATGTGGATCTGGTTTATTTCACTTATGAATATATCTTCAAGTGGCATCCATTTAAATATAAAGGCCTCGAGTTTATAATTTTTTTATAGCTGAGTGATACTCCATTGTATAGAAATATAACATCTTTTTCATCCATTCCTCAGGTGACAGGCATCTTGGTTGTTTCCAAGATTTGGCTATCACAAATTGTGCTGCAAAAAACATAGGTACACATATATCACTGAGATATGACGTTTTCAGTTTCTCCAGGAAAATTCCCAGTAGGGGGATAACTGGCTTGAATGGAATTTCCAGTCCTAGCTTTTTAAGCAGTCTCCACATTGATTTCCATAATGGTTTCACCAGTCTACATTCCCACCAGCAGTGGAGAAGGGTTCCTTTTTCTGCACAGCCTCTCCAACAATTGTTGTTGATTGATTTGTTTATGATAGTCATTCTTTCTGGGGTGAGATGGTTTCACAGTGTTGTTTTAATTTGCATTTCATGGATGGCTAGTGATGAGGAGCATTTTTTCATATAGTTATTCGCTTCTTTATTTTTGTCCTCTGAGAAGTGTTTTTTCATTTTGGATGCCCATATCTGTATTGGCTCTTTAAATATTGGGGCCCTAATGTTTTTTAGTTCTTTATATATGCTAGAAAGGAGACTTTTGGCTCAGTGCTTAGTAGTCAAGATTTTTTCCAAATTTGTAGACTGTCTTTTCACTTTCTGAGTAATTTCTTTGGATGTACAAAAACTTCTCAATAGGAAGAGGTTCCAGTTGTTAATTCTTTCAAGTGTTACTGTGCGATTTGGTTTTTGTTCATGAACTCTTTTCCTACCCTTATGTCTTCAAGAGTTCGTCTTACTTTCTCTTCTAGGAGATTTAGTGTTTCTGTTTTAATGTTCAGATCTTTAATCCATGTTGACTTTAGCTTAATGCATAGTGATAGACCTGGGTCAAGTTTTAGTTTTTGGCATGTAGAGAGGCTGTTTTTCCAGCACCATTTGTTAAAGAGACTATCTTTCTTCCAGTGAGCATGTTTGACCTGTTGGTTAAAATCAGGTGACTGAGTATGTAAGTAGAGGTTTCTGTGACTTCTAATATATTCCATTGATCCTCAGGTCTATTTTGTTGCCAGTGCCATGCTGATTTTATCATAGTAGCCTTGTATAATTTCAAGTCAGGAATTGTCATGCCTCATGCCTTGTCTTTGTTGCGCAGGTTTGCCTTTGATATTCTAGGTATTTTCTGGTTCCAAATAAATTTTAGGAATGATTTCTTGAGGTATATGGGGTATGTTGTTGGTAGTTTGAAAGGGATTGCTTTAAATCTGAACAGAAATTTTGGGAGCATGGCCATCTTCACAATGTTTGTTCTTATCTAGAAGCATGGAATATCTTTCCATTTTCTGAAATCCTCTATGATCTGTTTTTTAAGAGTACTGTAATTTTCCTTGAAAAGTTCTTTGACTTCTTTAGTTA